CAGAGCAGCAAAAGCCCCAGAAGCTGAGCAGAGTCCCTCATGTCCATGCTGTGTCCTGACTTGGACACTTACATCTAGTGTGACAAACTAAGAAATCCTCAAGCAGGGCTATGCTCTGGGCACATGCAAATCAGCAGAGATAGGCGTGGCTGGGCACAACTGCAGGTCTGGCACATTCAGCACTGGCCTATGGCTCTCTGGGATTCAATGGCCTCCGCTGCTCAGATTTCCTTCAGAGAAGGTGTTTCTCTCTTGAGCCACAGGGCAGAATCTGAGTACATAAGTACAGTGAACTACTGTTCTCTTTATGGTTCACACTGCACCTCGCATTTCTGAATAGAGATGGGGTCTGTAAATTCTGTCCCTCTGTCTCTCATTCCCTAGGTCACTTCATCCCTGTTTCACTCACAGCTGCCACAGTCAGAGCTGGGCACCTTGCTCTCTCACCCACCCTTCCTCATTGCTGACCCCCAGTTCGGACTCTAAGAATCCTCCTGAGAGGGGGATGATAGTCAGGAGCATTACTAATCACAGAGGAAAATGGGAAATACTAGGAACCAGTATATGGGGAGGACATGGCCTTTTGTGCCCAGAGGCCCCCAAATTCACAGACGAGTAGCACTGAGTCTTTCTTTCTTCAGCACCTGATACCATTGCACTGAAATCAGAAAGGGAACTTTCTTTGCAAGCAAAGTACAATTCCCTGGGTGATCCTACACCTCGTTCTATTGCAATACTTCAGTCAACCTGAAACCCGACACTTTAACCTTAACAGCTTTGGAAAACTGGGTTTACACTCCTAATAAAGTGTCTAGAAACATTATTTTCACCAATAAAATAGTGAGTGCTTTATCCTTCAGAATAAATGAAAAAGGATGTCTAATTTTTTTAAAAGTATGCTGAAGCTCCTTCAAAATCTAATAAGACAAACTAATAAAATGCACAAGTTAAAAGCCAAAAAGGTTATTGTCCTTTCCACATACTTTCCACAAAATGTTTTGCATACATTACTAAATTCTGCAACAAAATTAACCAAAATAATAACTTCATAAATTCTCTGGATTCATTGTCAATACAGTCATTGTGTCTTATAAATTAAAAAAAAAACAGTTAGGTAAATAGAGAATTTTTCTATGTTCCTCTTGTCAAAAAGTTGATATAACTGAAGCTTCATTTTTTCAAAAGGTATATATACACAAAAATATATTTCATGTAATGAAATCCAATCAATCTACCAGTGATGTACTTAATGAGTGGATAGTTTCTATAATACTTTAAAAAATCACAAAGTGCCTACAACAGCCACAAAAATTTTGAAGAACAGAAATAGAATATGCATAAAATTCTATTCTAAGATTGTATAGGGAGTGGAGATATAGCTCAACAGTAGAGAATTTGCCTGGTATGCATAAGAGCCTCAGTCTGATACCCAGCTTTGCCATCAAGGGTGAAGATTATCAAGGAATCAGTGAGACAATGTGTGCACCATAAGGAACAAAAATAAACTGAACAAGTAAAAAAGAAGAGTCCAGAGAAAACACCCACAGGTAGTCATTTCTCCAAACATAGTAAAGTATAGCTTTATGTGCGTATTTTTCAATACATGGTGAGGAGCAATTGGAAAGGAAAATGAAATTAAGTACATATTGGGAAAATATTGAACCACATGGCATCAGAATAAAAATATGAATTAATAGAACACATGGTCAACAGGTGTGAGTAGGGGAGCTTCAGGAGAAAGGGCAAGAGTGTAACTGTAGGCTGTAAAAGAAGGTAAACTCAAGAAGACACAAACCCACATTCACACAATTACAGGAGAGAAATATGAATACATTAGACTTCACTGAAAGTGGTGAAAGAAATCACAGAATCACAAATAAATGGAAAGTTACCCCCCTGTTCCTGGGTTGGAGGAATTAATGCTGCTAAAATGTTCAAAGCATCTAAAGTGGATTACAGATTCGATGAAATCCCCATAAAAATGACATTGAGAAAATTCCACTGGAATAACAAATTATTCTAAATATGCAGCACATTTTCCTGCTGTTCTTTTTGACCAATTTCCTCCTCACCCCATGGACTTTGTAAACTCAAGCCTATCTGTTGTCACTACATATTAGATTTGTCCTTTTCTAGAATTTCATACACAAAAATATCTTGTATCTTCTATTCCCTATTCCTTTCCTACTTTTACACAACACAGTTGCTTGTTAGTTCAATGCATGCTATTCATGTACAAATAATGGGATCCTCTTCTTTTCTGAGTACTATGTAATGGATGGAGATGTCATAACGTATTGCTTCATGGAGACTGAAGTAAGTTTCCTGTGAGGCTATTATGAATGAGTCTAGTTTGGATGGTTTTATGCAAAATGTGAGAGAACAGGTGTTTCCAAGTATGTTATTCAAATGTTTGAAATTTCAACTGTTGGATGTGACACTATGAAAACAGGTTTATAAGACTCTGCCAAGCTAATATCCTAGTAAGTCATAAGGTAATCATTTCCAGCAGGAATTGATGTCATATCAGATGCTCGTACTAGTAACTTTTTAAAAATTTTGGTTAGTTTATACCCAATAGTAACTAGATGAGGTAGAGGTCATGAAAGCTTTTATTAATTACCATTTTCTATGCTCGAAATGTTTTAGAAGCCTGAGAGCAAATCTTAATTAATACAGCCTATTGAAAGGCAAAAATTAGTAAAGAAAACATTGGAGAGTAGGAATATCTGAAAACATCTTGCCAGTGGATTCAAGAAGGAGGGAATGTGTTACACAGAGAGAATGCTCGCTACTGCTAAATGTGAGGTATTTCCCTGGAAAAAAATCGGTATGTGTTATAGTCAGGGGTTGTTCAGAGAACCATTAGAATCAAGATATGGAGTTTATAATATTATTTTTTTAAAATGATCACCCAGAGTTAACACAAGAAAATGCAGGCAATCTATCCACAACACTAAAGACATAGAATATTTAGCCAAGGGCCTGAATCCCACAGCCATGCCCCACATGAGTCCAGATGAAGACCCAGAGCTCATGACAATGCCTCCCATGAGTCCCACTGGAGGTCTAAAGCCCACAAGGTCTCATGACAGTCTCTTTTACAGATCTGTGCTGGGAAGGCCCAAAGGTCAGCGATGGAAGCCAGGAAATCTATACCAGCTGTGCTGGTGGGTTGAGGGTTCTATGCTGGAGCTGAGAAGTCACACTCACAACAAAGCCCGGGTCTGTCCTAAAAAGCACCACAACCATCCCCAGTGACAGAGAGGCCACAGGCTCCTCGGACAACAAGCACAGTTGAGTATGTGCTGGAAAGCCAGCATGACCAGTTCATCCTGGAAACCAAGGGGCACACATCTTCCTCCCCAGAGCCAGGAAGCAATGCTCATTGTGAAGACCAGACCTTCTACAGGAGAACCAATGGCTCAAACAGAAACTCATAGGTGAACCCACATTGCATCAATGCCTCAATCCCATAGCTTCTCCTTCTCCATGGCTCTATGCTGGCAAATTTTCTCAGGTGGAACATCTACACTCAGTGCCATGCTGATGTAATCCAGCTGGCATGAAGTTGACCACCAATTCTTAATCCATAACAGTATGTTACTTGAAGACTGTGTCCCTACAATGGCTGCAACCTTCTCTGCTGTTGCCATCTTGATTGGAAACCTAGAAAACATTCTAATGGCCCTATGATAACCAGGCCACACCCTAATGTCTACCTAAGAATGAAGTCTATTTTTCCCCCGGGGCTGAAAGGCTGTTTTGATGGAAGATATTCAGTGCCACAACTTAAAAGTCACATATGAAGATGTGGAAATAAGAACAGGAGATACTTGTCTTTGGAAAAAAAATGAAGCCACTTCTCTTTTTCTTCAATTCGAAGAAAAAGATCAACACAAGCGAGTGGAAACTCCCTGACTGGTGGAGAAAGACACTGAGCTGGGTTCAGTAAAACAGTGAAAGGCTCTGAATGATGTAAAAAGAACAGTGAGAGTCTCAGGATCCACCTGTAAATGCAATTGGTTGTATGAGCACCAGATTTATAACAAAATTATATCAATAAAATAACTTAAAGAAAAAAGAGTTTAGAACTCCCTCAGCTTATTTTAACATTACAATAGACTCTTAACATCAGTCCAAACAATCAGTATCCATGTGGTGACCTCTGAGACACACTCAGTACTATGAAAGCACCACAGTATTGCACAGTAGAGGATCTAACACACTTGCTATGCCAATATATTTGTGATAATCATAGAAGCTATAAAGAGAGTCTTGGTAGTAGCAAAATGTATTATTGATTATTTTTATTTCTGTGTTACATAGCAGTATATTGTGACATTGGTTTTTGAAAATCCTCCTTAATGTAAACACCAGGATATTATCTTTCTAGGAAAGGGAATGCTATAGACATGGGGAGACATGGTTCACTTACAGAAAATGGAGGGAAAAGAAGCTGCATAGGTACAAGACAGTAGTATTATGACAACATTGCGTGATAAAACATTTTGGACATGTGGCATTACATCTGTGTCTTGTGCTGAAATATTTAATGTCAAGAGTCAAAATTAATGTGGACTGGGAAATTTGAATTTGAACTTACCATGATGAGTTGCAACAGAGTTGAATTTATGGTGATAATCTACTTTGCAGATGTAGGGACAGAGGCATAAAACACACCTCTGCACTTTAACCTTCGTTTTGAATACAGGTCTCAAATTGCAGACTTGAAGAGGCATATCTGTAGCCATTATTAATATCCTAAAATCTTATTTCATTGTTCTGTACTGTTTATACTGTTTTATTTTGATTGATTTTATTCCATTTTGATTTATTTACTTCATTATGTCTCATGGTATGGGAAGTTACTTTGAACATAACTATATATATATACATACATATATATATATATATATATATAATATATATATATATATATATACATATTAGTCTCTGTTGATTTCTATTACCTTGTTTTGTAGTGCAGTATGGATTTAACTGTACTGTTTTGCTTAAAATTATTTGGCTGTACTTTAGTTTTAGTCTCTTTAAAATAAAAAATAAAATTAATTAATAAATGTGTAACAGTGATAAAAGATTTTTAAAATTATTGCTTGGAACTCAAAGAAGAGTTTCACTGCTGCCAAGTGAATTCAAAATGATGGTGTAATCCATATTATTTCATTAAATCAGGGTCTTTCATTAAATCAGGGGTGAGAAACAGAAAAGGAAGTTAGCGGAGGGAGGAGCTTCCATGGATACTTCTACCAAATCCTTCCAGGGACCTTCAAAGTCTAGATGCATTTCAGAACTTGGTCTGCAGCTGGAGACACAAAGAGGAACAACTGCAGCACCCCTACCCCACACTTCTGCTGACCTGGGAGGTTTATGTCATGGCTTGTATCACTCTGGGAGGCCAACTCTGGTCCTGCTGACAGTAATAAACTGCAAAGACTTCCGGCTGCAGGCTGCTGATGGTGAGAGTGAAATCTGTCCCAGAACCACTGCCACTGAACCTTGATGGGACCCCAGACTGCAAATTGGTGGCACGATAGATCAGGAGTTTAGGAGCTTGCCCTGGTTTCTGCTGATACCAGTTTAAGTAACTGCTAACACTCTGACTGGCCCGGCAACTGATCTTGACTGTGTCTCCCACAGATGGAGATGCAGATGCAGGCTGTGTCAACTGGATGTCACATCTGGCACCTGAAATGGGAAACTTAACAAATATCAACATAGATATTCAAGATAAATTAGGCCCACTCCGCAATGCCAGGCAACTCTGAACCTTCAGAACTAAGTAAATTCCTGGCGCTGCCCTTTCTTACCTGATATCCAGAGCACCAAGAGGCCCAGAATGTGAGTGGGGACCCTCATGTCCATGCTGTGTCCTGACTGTGCTGCACAGGACGAGACCAGAAGCTTGTGAATAAGTCCACAAGTAGGTGGCTGGGATCTTGGGACATGCAAATTAGCAGGGCTGGAAGGGGTTTGGCCCAGCTGCAGGCTAGCTCTTCTCAGCAGAGGCTCAGTGTCCCCTGGGACGCTGTCCACAACAGGGCAGCACAGATGTGCCTACAGAGCACCTGTTTCTCCCTTGGGCCACAGGACAGAATCGGGCTGCTCTCCAACAAGTAGAGTACACTACTGCTGTCACGTTACAGAACACGCCTTGCTTGAGGACCGGGGTTCTATATTATACCTTTGAGAAAGAAACATGAAGAGAAACACATGGGTTGTTTCAAACAGGGTAAAAAATGAGAAAGCAAGACAAGAATAGAGCAAAATCTGTGAACTCTGTGAAATTCTCTGGGTTCGTATTCACTATCACACCATGACTAAGAGGGCAGGGAAGGACCTGACCAGTGCTGCTGTCTGTCCAGCCCCAGGCTTCCATAGCACACACGGAAGCATGCTTCTGCTTGTCTTCAACAAAGCACAGTTCTAAGGCCCAGCCAGATTCTTGCACTCGATGTCCATTGCAGGATAAGTTAGAATCATCTAAGAAACAATGTGAGCATCAAGACATACTTAAAGTGGTAAACAGATATCTGGGGATCAGAATATTTCTGAGCCAAGGCCTCTGGAGAACAGCAGGGAAACAGGTCTGCAATAACAACCCCTCTCCCCACACGCCTTGCCCTCCTCTTAGGGACTTCTCCAGGGGTTCTCCCCGCATCTCTGACTGCAGTCGAGATCTACAGCCTCTGTCACCTCCACCTCAGAGTACACCAGGCCACTTCACTTGTGTTTCACTCATGGCTGGCCACATTCAGAGTTGTGACCCTAGCTTTGTGACCCATCCTGTTTCATTGCTGACCACGAGGCCTCCTGGCTAGTTCACCATAGTCAGGTGAATATCAGTCACAGATTGAAACATGAAATAGTAAGGAACTGGCACATAGGAAAGACACGGCCCATTGTGCACAGAGTCCCCAGCCACGTGAGCTTAGAGAGCTGGGCAGAGAGTTCCCTGCCTTAGTGGCTCCCTCACAGGAAAGCACCACTCTTTGTTTAATGTGCAGTTGTTCACCATCTGCTGGAAGATCTTTAACACAGCAACCTGTTCATTTTGATACTCTCAGGCCGTGACTGAATCTTTTCAACAGTATTCTTGAAGCTGATTGTATTCTATTACGTATGAGATAAGATGATATAGAAAATTCAAATGATTCCTCTTAATAAATCATCCTACTACTGAGGACAAAAGACTGACAGCTCACCTAGAGATCTAAAGTGATAATAAGACTGTGAACATGACGTGTGTAACCCTCATGATCAGACAAAGATTTAGTTTTGGCAATGCCCATGAGCCCCTGAAGACCCTGCAGGAAATGTTTGTGAAGAATCACACTATAGATCTGTAAGCCCAGCCCATCCTTCCTGTCCCAGAACCCCTGCCAGAGAAGCCTCTGGGAACCCAGCAGCTCCCTAGCTCACACTCTCAGTGGTTGGTGACTGGCTGCAACTGTGGCAGCTGAGATGTGAGAAGGTCTCAGTGCTGGGTTCCCGCAAGCCACCCTCTAGCTCTCTCTTCCCAGTCTCTACACAGGGCATGAGGAAGGGATCACAGCTAGCACTGGAGCCCAGGTATATTTCTGCTTCCACCAATACTTACTTCCTTTAAGGGCCTCCAACATCTCCAGATTCATGTATCACACAGTGTAATATCTCTCGGGAAACCATTGCTCTCACTTTTCATTGAAAACAATGAACTTAAATGCTAGGAATATAATATGGACACATCAGTTCTAGATTTAGTTGAGCTTCATTGCTGGTACATTGGTGACTCTGCTACTGCAGGTGGTGTTCCCAATATCACGAATATTCACTCATTCCAGAAATCTTCTAAGAGCATCTGTGTTGTCCAACTAAACAAGAGGTGACAATATATAAAGGTCACAATAGATGATTTTCAGAATAGCAAATACATTGATACAGACATTTGTGTTCAAAATAAATATGGTGACATTGTATTCCGGTTTGTCTCTTATTTTTGACATTTTTTAATGTTGGTTCATTAAGGCTATATAGTTCGTTTAATCAGATACATAGATTGATATCATTTGGTTTGTTCACTAGGATATTTTATGTTTCAGTGGCAATTATACTTTCATGTGTAATGCTACAAGTTTTTACAGTTTTTCATAGCCAGTTACTATTTACTTTGTTGCATTTAGTTAGATCTTTGTCACTGAGGTAATGAGTATTTACCTTCAAACACTTTATAAACTAGAAGTGCATTTGTTTAATATTTACTAGTTATTCTGAGGACCTCTAAAGTAATAAGCATGATTACAAATACATTGGTGTAAGGAAGAAAATTTCTGAGTCATAGATCAGGAAACACCTCCTGAGTTAATTGCTGAAATCAGTATTTAATAGAGTAGTTAATGCAGAGAAGACAAAGTAACCTCACACTTCCTCATTTCCTCACTGCAGGAAAACTCTTTGTTAGAATCCTATTTCCCTCTCTTCTCCTGTATCTTCTTTATAATCACCATTAACCTGTAATTCACAGACAATGCTGGGATTAGGGGTTGAACAGAGAAATGTTATCAGGTAACCTCTTCCCACCCATCTCTAAGGGATGGCATTGTAAACTACTTTTATAATACAGTTAGAGTACTAGAGAGGTGACTCGCTAGATTTATTCAGACAGATGTATTATCACGTCCTCTTCTGAGAGCTCACAAGACAGCAGCCATTCAGAATAGCATACACTTTGCTCCACACACTGAAGGTTAATTTCAAGATAGAAAAAAAAAAAATCCTTAATTTTATTCAGGTGTACCTTTACTTCTTAGAATTTTTATATCATGAGTTTTTAAGTTTCTATCCTTTGGATAATTAGCAATTAACACCTGTATAATTTGGTTCATTTATAATTTCATTCAACTATCTATAGTGACAGGTATTTTTTAATATTTTCTTAAATTTTTAAGTCTTATGTGTTTTATTCCTCCAAGTACAGCTTCATCATACCTGAGGTAACATATAGTTCCCCTAAAAGACTGTGAACAAAATGAACTAACTGTGCAATATTACCATATTTATTAGGTATTCTCAGATTATTCCCTAAGGTAATAAACACAAATACATTGTTTTACTGTGTTACAGCTCAGGAAAAACCTCGCAAATTTACATTTGACACAGTAGCTAACACTGCTAAGGTGAAAAAGGTAATCTCGTCCTTCCTCCTCAATCCAAGAACACTCACAACTGGCATAATGTTATTTTCCTCCCTTCTGCTTCCTCTTTTCCTCCTCACTTTCTCCTGGTCCCAGTCAGCCAACTGCCCAATTATGGATTTGAATAAAGGCCATCAGATAATCCTCACCCCACACCATCCTCAGTTATATTCAAAGAAAGAATGGAGTTAGAAAACCATAGCACTCTTATAGAAAAGGATTGGGTCCTGAGATTTATTTTGGCAGGACTCACCGTGAAATAAAAATTAATTCAGTAGAAGGGGAAAATGAAGCAAAAACTACAGAGCTGAGGAAACAACAATGCCATCAGGCTTACGAGATGCAGGTTAGGGAAGTTATGTCTCTGTCTATAGCAATATGAGTGACAAAGGAAATGTGAACAGTGAATATCAAAATAATTTTCTAAAATGATTTAAGTGTATCCACCCCTATTGATCAATAGTCTAGCCATGAGCCACATATTTCTTTTCAGCCCTGGATATATGTCTAGTTTAATTGTGGAATTATGGTTCTAATTTTAACTAAGTGTTTATCTTAGCATTTATCCTGTGTCTAAATCACAATTATAGACAGATTCAAGCCAAGGCATACACAGCACATTGCTGAGTCTTTGGAAACTTGCCTGGATTCGGATGCAGCAAGGAAAGTGGTGGAGACCATTTCTCTTAAGAGACACTTAAAGGGAAGCTGGGCCCTAGAGCCCACAATGCTCTCACGGGAGTTTAAAGGCCAGAACAAGACACAGGTGAGCCCCTCAGTGAATGATATCCCAACAACGGAGTCTTCCAAGGACAGTGCATGTGGGACACAGTGAACACGGTCTCAGCCTCAGACTCCTGGGTGCTATAGGCCCTGTCATGGATGACTCTCCAAACACTGCTGTCTCACCTGGACCCAGAGCACCAGGACTCAGAGGGCCACAGCTCCACATCTGCAACTCACTGCTGCACCTGATTCAGATTAATCTTTGTCCAGAGACAGTAACCACATCCCGCTGAGAGCTTGTGACAGGCAGGGACTTCGTACAAGAATTAGAGCTCCAGAAAGGGGTGCACAGCAAGGCATCCATGTCTTGAACAGAGGACACAGAAGGGATAAAGAGAAACTTGTAAGTACAAAGAGGTGTTACTCAATATTTTTAATTATTGTATTTCTCAGTACAGTATATTCTGAGATTGTCTTTCAAAAACTTCTATGTTATAAAGGCAAGATTTTGTCATTTGGAAAAGGATAAACAATGTGATGATAAAACACAAATGACTGGCAGGAATTGGTGGAGAATGAACTGGGATAATTTTTAGGGTGGAGAATTTTTATGGCAGTGAAACAAAATTGCACAGTAGCAAATGCTGCGTGTGTGTTATTGCACATTTGTTTCCCTTTGTGAAATGTATAGCAGCAATAGTGACCCTTCATGCGAACTACAGACTTGGCAAACTTATGGATCTTAATGCTTTGTAACAAAATTGTCCTTGGTTGTTGATGATAGACTGCAGATCCATGTGTACTGGGTAATCGGAGCCACCTCTGTAATTTAAACTTTTTAATGATGAAATCTACACTAAAAATTGAAGGAAGTCTTTAAAAACACTTGCTTAGAACACAGAAGGGCTTCTAGGTTGCTGTCTGAATCCAAAATTATGCCATAACCCACACTGCTCAGAGGTGCTCATCTGTGGCCTTCACTTAATTAGGACAGGAGCTGGACTGTCTGTGCTTTA